ACGGTGGCCCTCGGATCACATTTTTTCCTCGCTCTCCTGAGACCTCGTATTCAGAATCAATTGTATTCTCAGTAAACCCTGCAAGAAGATGTGCCTTTACAAATGGATGCTGAACATGTAGGTTTCTCCTCCTTCCAGTATACTAGAATTCCAGGTAATGAGAAAAATTGAAGTGGGCTTTGGTCAATTTATTCTGCAGACAAGAGCTCCCGTGGGCTGTTCCAACTTCAGCTGTTCTGCTTCTCCAACCATCTCTCCCTCTGGCCGGGCCCCCTGGGGCTCTCCTGGGCCCCTTCCTGGTCCTGCTGGAGCTGCCTCCCTTCATTTTCCCTACCTGTGTGTCCCAGGTGCTCCTGGGAATCTTGGAGATTGGGGCTCAGTGGCCAGTGTTTAGGAAGAGGCCCTGGCGGCTTATGGAGGTCTAGCCCAGAACCAGCAGGGTCAGCTTGAGGGGTCATTGTGGGTGAACTGGCCCTCGGAACCAGGACTGGGATAAGGCTGTGCCCCTGAACTTGGCTGGGGTCCTGGTATCTGCCCCCCATTCAGAGCTCAAGCAAGGCGATGGCCATCCCTGCGGACATGGGCATCCTGGGCCTCAGAGCACCAGTCCCGAGGTCCATTTCCACACTGGGCTTCTGCAGCCCAATGGGGGCAAAGATGCAGCTAAGAAGTCCATCCAGTGGAGGAGAAAGGACTGGAATTCACCTCCTGCTGGCCAGATTCCCAGGCCACCTGATCTCCCAGAAATGGTCCATGGAGGATGGGTAGGGGATGTTTTTGCCTCTAGTTTTGCAGAAGGGGCCCAGCATAGGGGCCACTAGACCCTGGTCTGGGGCACATCAGGGCCGGGCAAGGTCAGGACGGTGGGCAGGAGGGTGCCCTGCGGGGAGGGGAAGCTCTGTAGCTCCTCGGGCACAAACCTGGGGGAGACGTAGTCGGCCAGGAAGCGGAGGGTGCGCTGGCGCCCCACACAGTAGATGAGGTCGTCCACCACGGCACACTGGAAGGTGTCCGGGTAAGGGGTCCGATATGTGGCGCACTCGTACCAGAGGCGGGTGCTGGCGCTGCAGCGGTACACGCTGATGCCCAGGCTGCGGTTGAGGTCAAAGCGATAGAGAAAGCCTTTGACCGCCACCATCTGGGCCGTGCGGTCCTTGCCGCCCCCAGTGGGGCCGGCCCGCCAGCGCTGCTCCTGGGTGGAGAATCGGAGCAGCAGGTAGCGCAGGGAGCCGCCGGTGACGAAGATCTCTCCGGCACACGCCGCGGCTGTGTGCGCCAGGGCAAAGGTGTCACTGGGGAGCGGCGGGGAAAAGGTCCAGCGGTCCAGGCGAGGGTCGTAGCGTTCCACCGTGTTCAGACACTCACCCCCGATGGCGTACAGGTGTCCATCCAGGGCCACCAGCTGGCAGTGAGGGCGGGCCTGGTTCAGAGGGCACACCTCACTCCAGATGCCTGTCAGCGGGTTGTAGCAGAAGACACGGTTGGAGGGCTGGTGCCCAAACCCCTGGCAACCGGACACGATGAAGAGATAATTGAAGAGGCTACAGACGGCACAGCCCCGGGACACAGCCTCAGGGGGCAGACGGGCCAGCGGGTGCCAGACATCCCGCTCGTCGTCATAGCAGCAGAGGCGGCTGGAGTCTTCCTGGGGGCACATGTCGGCCACCACCAGGTGCTTGCGGCCCCGGAGCCGTCTCTGGAGGATCAGCTCCCGCTCTGCCCCACTCAGGCACCCATAGATGTCTGGGCTGCGCAGGACCTGGAGGTAGTTGTCACTCATCACCTTGTAGGCGGCTTCCTTCAGGGCCTCCAGGCTCTGCTTCTTGGCAAAGGCCAGCACCTCATAACAATTGCCCAGATCCAGGTGGGCACCTGGGGCTGATCCAGGGCTGAGTGGGAGGTGAAAGAAATTGGCCCCAGCCACAGAGTGCAGGTGGGGCTTCCCGCTGCTTCCAGCTGAGCTGGACCCAAGAGAACCCTGGGATATGGGGCTGGTGGGCAGGGTGCTCTGGTCTGGGCACGATGGAGCAGGGTCCCCAAAGCCTTCGAGCTGCAGCTGGAGCTCCGGGTTCTCCACGATCTGAAGGAGGCTCTGCTTCCTGCTGAAGCCTTGTGCGGAGGGTGACAGCACAGGCTCAGGGGGGGCGGCTGTCCCCACTCCACCTACTGTGTCATCGGCCTGGCCTCCCGAGGCTGCCCCCACTCCCAGGGGGCCTGGCCCTGACACAGGGGGTGGAGCCTCCGCCAGGGCTGCTGTTCTGGGGGCCAGCCTGTCCCTGGAGGTGGCCTGACGGGTGGATTCAACACAGTAGTCGTACACCTTGCGCTTCAGCCTGGGCCTGGCCCCCTCCATCTTCTCCGGTATGAAATTCTCCTCCACTCGAACCCGGGCCACAGACAAGAAGGTATAGGAGGCCTCGGTGGCTCCCTCCTGCTGACGCAGGGCCAGGCCCATGTCCGAGGCAGCCCGGAGGGCCCCAGCCTCTTCCCTGTGGACCCCTGTCACACGCGTAAAGACCCAGCTCTTGTTCATGTCACTCTTGCCTTCTGTGTGGGCCGCCCTGCACCGGTCGGAGGATTCCTGCTCCCCGGCCCCCAGGTGCTCCTGGGATCTGCTGTCCCGCCATGGGGCAAGCTCACCGCTCACACCGCTGCCGTCCGCTGCAGCGAGGCCAGTTAGGGAGCTTTGGGGTTCACTGCACCAATGGGCGCGACAGGGCAGCTTACCGCCAGCAGCTGTTCCGGCTTCCTGGCCACTGCCCCGAGGAGGTGCCAGGCCAGAGTCCGTGCACTGCCCACCCTGTTCCTCACCAGCACATTTCCTCTCGGGTTTCCCAGTCGCTTGGGCTTCTGAGTCTGCAGGAGGTGCTCCTGTCGCCAGGACTCCGGGACCCTCCGGATTCTCCCAGCTGCAGCCCAGCGATACTCCGGCCCCCTTGCTTCCCCTCCGGCGTCTCAGGCCCCACTGTGGCGCCCCGGAAACAGCCTCCTGGATGGCAGGCTGCCTGGAGCCCTCTGCCTCGTCCTTGGCCTCAGCCTTGGCGTTCCCACCCCCCAGGGGGTCCTGGGCAGGCCTTGGCTTGTACAGCCTGTAGGCTGCGGTCGCCAGGAGCAGGGCAGCGGCAGACAGCACCACCTTGCCCGCCAGCTGCATGTCCAGATGGCAGCCCTGGGCCTCTGCTCCCTCTCCTCTGGGGAGCATGTTCCCAAGCCGACCTGGGGCAGAGGAATGTCAAGAATCCGATTAATGATTGCCCAGTAGGGAGTGGTTCCTGGTTCCTGCCGAGCTGAGAGGGACGGGGCCTTGGGCTGGCTCTGACCGGCTGCCCAGCGGAGTTGTGACAAAGGTGACTTCGAGCTGGCAGAGGGTGGCCAGTGGGGCTCCGGGCTGGCAGATCTCGGCTGCCGGCCCCCTTGGATCCTTCGCTGCTTTCCCTGGGAGCGGGAGGCACCTGCCGGGGGGCTGAGCCTGTGATCAGCCACCCGAGCCGGCAGCAGCTGGACAGGGTTAGGAGTGTCCAGCGGGTACCCAGAGAGGGAGGGAGCTCTTGACCGGACAGTCACCGGATGCCAGGAAAGGCACGGGGTTGGCGATTATTTGTGTGTGTGTTTTGTTTTATCTTTTGCAAATCTGCTGGGCTGGGAGGGTTGGGTGTGGTGACTTGTGGGGCAGGTGGAGCCACGGCAGGCATGGCAGGAGAACCTCCCGGGTCTGTTTTCTTCCTGTTGACGTTGGTTGTTCCCCACGGTGGGGGGTGGGGTCCGCAGTCAGCAGCAGGTGAGGCTGAGCTGGGGACTGCGGCCAAACCACCTGAACTGGCTCCTGCGTGACTCTGCCCTCCTTCCCTGCCTGATAAGTTGACTAAGAAAACCGGCCTTCCTGTGAGGAGTTGGGGAAAACACATGGCATTAGTACCTAGATCGGGGACAGACATGGGCCACAACCTCACCCTCTGAACCAGACAACCTCATATGGTGAGAGGCCGAGGGAGACTCACCCGCCGCTCATCTCACCGGCGCTGTGGGTTTCGGATCCAGGCCACACAGCTTTGCTACGTACCAGCAGTGTGACCTTAGGCAAGTGATTTCACCTCTCTGTGCCTCAGTTTCTTCATCTGAAAAATGGGGATAACAGCATCTCATAAGGTTGTGGTGAGAACAAAATGGGTTAATGTGTGTAAAGGCCGTAGGGCTGATGACTCCCATAATTGTCATCAGTTGGACCTTTGGAAGCGCAGGTATAATTCTGCCCCTCCCCAGACTGAGGTCTTTTTGGGGTCCCCAAATGCCAGGGCAGGGGTTTCAGCCTCATGCTACCTATGGGGGCTGATGGTGCCAGGTGGGCGGTCCCAGCACCCCCTGGTCCCACTGTTTCAGAGTCACTTAGAGTCTAGGTGGTGATGCCATCACTCTCGATTTCTAAATGTTGGCATTTAACTTTTAAATATGAGAATAAAAACCACTCTGAGGGCTTCTCTGGTGGCGCAGTGGTTGAGAGTCCGTCTGCCGATGCAGGGGACGTGGGTTCGTGCCCCAGTCCGGGAAGATCCCACATGCCGCGGAGCGGCTGGGCCCGTGAGCCATGGCCGCTGAGCCTGTGCGTCCGGAGCCTGTGCTCCGCAACGGGAGAGGCCACAACAGTGAGAGGCCCGCGTACCGCAAAAAAAAAAAAAAAAACCCACTCTGAAATACAGAGTTTTCAGAGGAATATGTCTCTGAAACCTTGACTTGAGGAAAAATCCTGATTCCTTATGATGTTGTTCACAACCCTCTACGCTCCAGCCTTAGTTTACCTTCCAAAATCATCCCCTGATCGCTGCTGTGCCTACCTGGCTCTGGGCTGGGGCTCAGGCTGCCTTCCCCTGTCTTTGCTGGTCCACATTCCTCCAGCCATCTGAGTCAGGTCAAAGGCTGCCTCCTGTGCCTCCTTCCTGGTGCCTCCCTCCTTCCGGCATCATGGTTTCCTTCTTGTTCTGTTGTTCTTCTATGCGCCTCTTTTATCTTTCATCACACGGGCTGCGGCTCAAAGTACACACTGCTCTGCTGGATTCTAAGTCTCCAAGTAAGTTCAACTCTGGGGCCGGAGGCACACTCAGGATGCATCTCATCTACTGTTCACTGTCCCGTTTGGGAGGGATACAATTGTCCTCCCCACTTTATGGCAGCTCCAATGTTATGTCAATTTGCCTGTAAATGGGGATTTCTATCTTTTGTTTCCAGACTCCTGAATTTTACAGACTTGAATTCACCCAACAGGTAACACTGCCCCGGTAGTCAGGCGTTCTCTGCCTGTCTTGCTGGTGACGCGCAGCAGGGTTTTCTCGCTTTCCATCACGGTCACAAGAGCGATTTACAATTATCGTTAGACGTGCAGATTTCCAAGCTCTGCCCCCAGATTTTATGATTCAGTAGGTTTGGGATGGCTTCCAGGAAATCCTCGTTTTTAATAATCATCTCAGGAGATTCCAGTGGGTAGAGGAATGGAAAGGAAGTCAGTGTTTTTACTTGTCTGCTAAGAATTCCTCTTCACCCCTGGGTGGTGGGTGAGCAGTTGCCCCCTAGACCATCCAGGAGAGTGGCGGGGAAAGGGGAATGGATCCTGGGTACTTTGTATGAGTGAAATAATCTCACCTTCCCAGTCATCCAGGAAGGTGGGTGTTGTCATCGCCCTCATTTTACAGGTGAGGAAACCGAGGCGTAGAGGATGCACCAGTGTCGACGGAGGTTGTCAGCGGCAGAGTCTTGACTTATAACTAGGTGTCTCTAACTGCAAGGCCCATTTATCTTCCTCTGGGAAGGAGCGGATGAGCTAGAAAGGGGAATAAAAATGATTTGTCCAGTGGTGAAGTCAGGGCTTTGGGGACTGATGTGGACCGCCCCCCTCCCAGGGGCCAAGCTACCATTTCAGCAGTAAGGGCAGCTTTGGGCCTCCCGTACCCTCAGAGAGGGAGACTTGTGGCATGCCCTCCTGAGTGCTGTGACCTGGCGTTGTCCTCTCAGATGCCACCAAGGGAGCAGTGTCTCAGCCCCTTTCATGGGCTGCTTCCCACCCAAGAAAGGCTTCATGTGTCCCGGAGCACCCTCCCTATAGCCACAGCTTAAAGGCTTTGAGTCAGACAACCGCTCTTTCCATTTGGAACTGTACCCCTGGGTGGCCAGGAGAAAGTGAAAGGGCCCCTGGGAGCAGAAGACCCAGCCCCAGCCCTGGGGAAGGACTTACATCCAGATCTGGAAGATGGCGCCTGTGCCTGAGATACGATCAAGTCACAGTGTATCACAAAGGAAAAATTAAAAAGGTGACTTGTCAACAGGTGCTTATTGACAAAGTACAACCAGACTATTCGATGGCCAGGGAGGCTGGAACAAGGGGCATCAGAAGAGAGGTCAGGAGAGGATTCCAGAAAGAGGTGCTTAGCATTGAATATTTTGATAAAAGAAAGAGGGGGCAGAGACTGATTGATTGATTGATTGATAGGACAGTTATTTACCAGATGTTTACCATGTACCAGGCCCTGTGCAGTGACCTAGGTTAAGAGACACCCATGGAGCCTGAACCTGTGGAGACTGCTGACTCTGGCGGAAGAAGATGCTTCGCAAGAAGGTGGTGAAGTGTGATGATGCTCGTAGGTGAGTGTGTCTGGGGGAGAGGGAAGCAGGAGTCCCTGTGCCAGGCCAGGACATGAGAGTGGAGAGGGTACTTGGTAGGCAGAACAGGGAGGGCCAAGAAGAGGGAAATAGCAAGGGGTGAGGAATAGGGGGACGTGAGAGCTGTGACAATGCATGAGACCTCCAGACTGGATCTTGGGGCTGGGTGCAGGCTGTGCGTATGAGGGTGGAGGGTCAGGTGACACTGATATGAATCCTGGCTTAGCACTTCCTTTGTTGGAGGGTGGAAGTAACACCTGTGAAACAGCTGAGCACAGAGGGGACCTTCAGTAAAGGAGGCTTCCTGCTGTCTGCCCTCCATTCTGGTCCCCAGTGACCACGGCCACGTGAGATAGTTATAAAATGTAGGCTTTATTATTATTCAGGTATGGTGAGGCCAACAGATCAGGAGATGACTGCTCTAGGAAAGGTAGCTTGTTCCCTAGGGGAGCCCCTACCCTCTGCTGTACAGGGCCACATGAGGATGCACCAGGGTCACCAGGAGGCAGAGGAAGGAGGGGAAGTGGGAAGCATTGACTTTACTATGTTTTTCATGGGAAGGTAGGGTAAAGGATGGGCAAGGTAGGGTAGGCTTAGAAGTGGCTAGCTTGAATAATTTCAGGGGACCCTGGGGCTGTCTTTATTTGTCTCACTTCTGGTCCTGGAGTGATATGGGTAGGGGACCACTGGCCCTGAGGTATAAGAGCCTTGTGAGAGCCTATAAAGGAGGTGGCAGGGGAAGGATTTGGACTGGTTCATTTGCCTATGAGAGGTGTACTCCTAGGGGAGTCATTTGCCATCTCTAGGAACTAGCTAGCCTTCGGAGCTCACTGTCAGCTCAGCGGGCCCCAGATGCCCAAGTTCTCTATCAAGAAGATATAGTTACTACAGGGAGTCAGAAGACCAGAAGCGAGAGACTAGGGACTTTGGGGTCTCTAAGAGGCTGCCGGCTCCCCCGCTGGATGGTTGGGAGTGAGTTTGGGCTCTACCCTGAAGTCTAATCCCACCCGGCATGTGAGCAGGACGCTCCTGCCAGCTGACTTCAAAGTCCATAAATTACAGCGTTTTTTCCTCCAGTCCATTTGGAAAAAGTGAAATGAACAAACGAAGACAGGAGCAAAATTAAAAGATAATTGGAAGTCTATTGGGCTTCCGTGGATGTGCGTGCCTGCTGCCCATCTGGTCTCTCCGTGCGGGCAGGATCAATTGAGAACTCCTCGGCTGGCTCAGGGGGTGGAAAAAACAGAGACAAATGCGAGCCATGCAAATAAACGGACGCATCTTCCAGCGATTAGCGCTGCATTCCATCGTGCCGGTGCCCCCTCCGGTCTGCTCAGCCTGATGCGTCTGTGTGTTCCAAGGTGGAGGTGGACTCCAGGTGGGTGCAACAAGTGAGGGCCTGAGTGGAGGGTCCGAGGTGGTGAAGAGCTGGGTGCGGGCACTTTGGGAGGAGAGGTGTGTGTACAGAGAGTGGGTGGAGACATCAGAGAGGGAGTCGGGGAGTTGTGTGGCCTTATACACAGACATGCACACACAGACACACACACACGCATGTGAACACATATGCATGTGTGTGCACATGAATGCACACACCCATGCATACACACATGTGTACACACATGTATACAGATGTACATGTGTGTGAATGTACATGTATGCGTGCACGCACGCATGCACACATACACACTTGAGGGAGACCATGGACTTTTAAATCCAGAAGTGTCATCAATAAATGGATCCTGTCTGATGGGGAGACTAAGTCCTAGCTGTCTGTCCAGCTGGGACTAGAACACAGGGCATCGGACTGGGTCTAGGGGTGGAGGATTAGGTCAAGGATAAGTTGCCACTTGTCGGAAGGGTACTCAGTATTTGACGGTGGTATGGTGGTTCTCTACACTCACCCAGAGGTCTTTCCTCGAGAAGTTCTCCTTAACATATGTTGGGCTTTTTTACCCTCAGCGTCCCTGGGTTGCACCCCCAGCTGATGTGCACGGCTGCATCCACACGGGTTGTTAAATGTTGACCTATTTCCATTCTGGTTGGTGAATAGCCACCGCCCCAAGCCCACCAGCCTGGCTGCCGTTCCCCCAGCACCCCCTCTGTCCTCCCCACCATTTACGAACTAGAAGTCAATGCTTGGTATCACAGGCTCCTCCAATGCTGCACCACTCAGCTAGGGCAGGACCACGCTACACCAGGAGGTAAAGTGCCGAATATTCCCCCACGCCACTGGCTCCGCCCCAACCCCCAGGCTCCTGTTCTGCTCCGTCTAGGGTGATGCTGGCACAAGAGTTCCTGGACTGGGGATGCCACCTTAGCTGGGATTCTGAGCCTGCAAAGGTAAGGCCAAACAGGGACCCTGGTGGATGTGCCACGGTGAATGCCATTTGCTGCTGAGCCCCGAGTGCTAAGCTCACCCCTTCCTGGGCATCCCGTCAAATTTTCCATTCACGTGACTTGAGCAAATAGCTGTCACGGTTGTTATGGGCACAGCCCTTGACCGGGCACTTCTCACTGTACCACCCAGTGCAGATGGCATTGTCATCCCCATTTTATAGATGAGGGCACTGAGGCTCCCAGGAGTCATGGTGATCTCGCCCAGGGCCCTGCAGCTTGTGAGTGGTACGCAGGTGGGGCTGAAACCACTGTCCTCTCTGACCCTGAACCCTGCATCCACCCAGCCCACCTGCTACCTGCTGCCAAAGTTCACCTCCACAGAAACCCAAGGCAGGACCAACATTGCTCTCCAAGGGGACAGACAGGTCACTGTAGTTCCTTGACGTTCTGGGAGGAGCAGAGGCCAGTGGTGAGTGAGGCCAGGATTTTGGAGAAGACAAAGCATGCTGTAGCAGCCAGAAAAGGGGTCTGGCCTGGAGAGGGGATTTCAAAGAGCTGGGAATGCCAAGGGTGTGAAGAAATGTCCTACTTACGATTTCCTCTGCACAGACCATTAGGAAGTGGAATAATGGATGTGATACGTGCCTGTGAATTTGATGGGGAAATTGAATGTGAAACGATTCATGGATGCTGTTTGAAACGGCAGATTGCATCCTGATTTTTACTCCTGGGGTGGGATGAAATGAACCAAAGGGAGCATCGCGAGGTTTGCGTATGTGGCATAAGCCGTGCTCGCACACAGACAGAGCTTTCACGGAGGGCTCAGAGCCAAGAGTGATAGTAGTAATAATGATGATCATAACCAGTATTTCCTGGGTACCCGCTCTGTGCCAGGCTCTCTGCTCTGCCTAGGCTGCAGGCACCATCTTCTTTCATCTTCACACAGACCTAGAGGGGAGTTAAGACCCATTCCACAGATGAGGAATCTGAGGCTTTGTTTCTTGCTCAAGGTCAAGTCAGTTTTACCCCAAAGCCATTCTCTAGAAACCCCTGTCAGCATGCAGGATCTCAGGCCCTACCCCAGCCTCAGAAAATCAGAATCCTCCTGTTAACCAGATCCCTATGTGAAGCACTATAAACGCGCCCATACTCCCAAGAACCAATCAGCTGTATGACCTTGCGTATCATCAAGAGCATGTGTCTTCTCTTGCCCTGAGTCAGAGAGAGGTGACACCTTTGTCACTGACCCCTTGACATCTGAGCTCCCACAACAACCTTAATATACATCACTACTGATTCTGACTGAAAATCCCTGTGCCTTTGTTTTCCCATCTCTCAATCAAGCATGACGTCATCCCTCTATGGGGTTATTGTCAGAAAACACAGTAGGATGCCTAGGAGGGCACCTGGTGCAGGTGTACAGAGGGGTTGATAAGTGTATATAAAATGAATTGATGGATCATACTGGAACCCGTCATTGTCAAAGGCTGGTTGTGTGCCTTGTCCTGGGCTAAGTGCTCCAGAGGTAGCTTCTCATTAAAGCGAATTTTCACAGCCTCACCAAGGAGGCATGGTTATCCCTGTCTTGCAAGGAAGAAACCCTGAGAGGTTAAGTTATTTGCCTAAAAGCACACAGCTAGGAAATGGCAGCCCTGAGATTCAAACCAGGCGCCTTTAGATCTGAAGCCAGGCTGTGTCTCCCTCATGTCATGGCTCGCGTCTCCTCCTCCTGCAATATTCCAGACAGTCACCAGCCCTGAGTGCCCTTCCAGGGGCAGCACACTCCCTGGAGCTGGCTGTCCATGGAGCCCCATCCTGGTCGCTCATCTCTCCCCTCCGCTCTCTCCTGCTTCTTCCGCAACCCATGTTCCGAGTTGCCACTTGCCGGCTCCTGGAGTTCCTATGGCTCCCCGGGGCCTCCCCTCTCAAATCTAAATGCCTCAGCCTGTTCTCCAAGGTCCCTTCGACGCCCCGACATCATTTGTCACTGTTTCCAAACACCCATTCTGCTCCAGCCAAGCTCATCTGTTTACTGTCCCCTTGTCCCTGTTGTCGCACAGGCCACTTCTCCCATTCCTGGCGCTTTTTCCCACATCTCTGCTGTTCTGTTCACTTTTGCAAAACCCCAGATCAAAACTGGGGCTTCTCTATAGGAACTCAAACCAAGGCAGCAGTTCTTCACTCATTCTGGGGACCAGGCCCCTCTGAGGACCTACTGGAAGTTATAGACCCTTGCTGGAAAAGTGCACATACACATAATATTTCACATGCAAATTCTGGAAGTCTCCAGACTCTTGGAGTCCTAGTTAAGAACCCCTGAGCTAGGGGAAGTACATGCTAAGCTTTTGGAAGGATGTGTCAAACTGGCTTTTGGGGTGAAAAATAGGCCAGCCTAGGGGGGCACGTTTTGAAGTATGTGCTTTGCGTTTACTCCAAGAAGAAAAATGGTTCTCTGGCCAGATCAGTTTAGAAAACACTGCTTTGTGACCTCTGAGCTCAATTTCTTCACTTGTAAAATGGAGCCAATAAAACCTGCTTTTATATAAGTTGTCATGGTGATTGGATGAGTTGCCTTGTGGTATATCGAAGACCACCCTCTCTTTGGGCCCCTGAATCTTTTTTTTTTATAAGTTTCTACTTAGGGTGTTTTTAAAAATTTATTTATTTATTTATTTATGGCTGTATTGGGTCTTCGTTTCTGTGCGAGGGCTTTCTCTAGTTGCGGCAAGCAGGGGCCACTCTTCATCGCGGTGCGCGGGCCTCTCACTGTCGCGGCCTCTCTTGTTATGGAGCACAGGCTCCAGACGCACAGGCTCAGTAATTGTGGCTCACGGGCCTACTTGCTCCGCGGCATGTGGGATCTTCCCAGACCAGGGCTCGAACCTGTGTCCCCTGCATTGGCAGGCAGATTCTCAACCACTGCGCCACCAGGGAAGCCCGGACCCCTGCATCTTGTGTACTTTTCAAGAGGCCACCAGGAGGGGGAGAAACTGAGACTCTCTGCTGCCCATCACCAGTGGAGAGTAGGGTCCCAGGGAGCTGGGAGCCTGGTGAGCGTGACTGTGGCTCCCAGTTTTTCCTCTAAGCCCGCAGAAGGGGCTGTGGAAGAGAGCCAAGGTAGCCCTTGCTAGGAGAGCAGCTGCTGCAGCCCTGAGTCTGGCTCTGACTCTTGTGTCCACAGGGACTAGAGAGCTGGTCTGGCCCCAGAGAGGCAGGGCAGGTTTGTGTTTCACAGCCCTGAGCCTCTAAATGGAGCTAACTCCGCGCAGCCAGGGGCCTTACTGGACAATTGCAAAAATCAACGCTCTGAAAAGAGACAGCTGTCCAGGTGCAGAAGGGGGACAGAGCGGCCCCAGCCAAGCCGCAGAGGGCCGGAGGAGGGAGGGGAGGCTGTGGGAAGAGCAGCCAGGGTAGCCTGGGGCCAGGGGCTGGGGCAGGGGGAGCCGTGCAGGGCATCCACACGACCTCCGCTAGGGGCCAGATTCCGGGCTGGTTCTGGGGATGCAGGAGTAAATGGAGAATGAGTGGCAGCTTCATTGAGCACCTACTATGTGTCAGCCACTGGGCTAGGAACCCCACATTCTCTGTCTTTTAATCCTCTTCCATACATGCAGACTAGGCTATGTGTTCAACCAAATCCCGGTTCAGTTTCCCCTTCCTGAGCGCAGAGGAAAACTACATTTCCTATCCCCCTCTGCAGTGGTGGGGGCATTTGATGGAGTTATGGCCTAGAAAGAGCAAGCAGAAGTGACCCGAGTGGCTTCCGGGTTGAGGCAGCGAAGAAGCCGTGGGCAGCCTCCTCTCCTCACACCCCCTGCCGGGGTGATCTCAGAGGCCACATGTCCCAGATGGACATGTGAGGTTGTGACCATAAACTGGTATTGGGTTAAACCACTGAGATTTCAGGATTTGCTAGTTGCAGGAGCCAGTGTCAATTTCCTGGGCTAATATGCAGTTCACTGGTAGAACGGCTTGTTCCCACTTTGCAGATGGGGAAACTGAAGTTCAGACAGGGTTATTCACGTAGCCAGCAGGCTCAGCCTCAGACCCTGTGCCCTATTATACCCACTCTACCCCTCCAGAAACTCAGGGTCTAGAGGGGCAGGACAACATCAGAGCAAATCGTGATGAAACGCAACAGGGGGTACATGGGGTGCTACGGAAACAAGGAGCAAAGAGCCAGGGCTTTTGGGGAGAGGGGCTTCTCAGAGCTGAGTCATGAGGGGTACGACAGGTGGACCAGGCAGGGAAAGGATAGTCAAAGCAGAGGGCCCCCTGGGTGCAAAAGCCCTGAGGTCTGTGTGTAGCAATGGTTCTAAGCATTTGAAAACATATGGGATGTTGACATAGCCAGAGTTAGCCTCCAACTGGGTGGCAATGACAGGGAGACTAAATGAGTTCCAGGACTTACAGCAAGAAAGCTTGAGATAAGAACCAAGGAAGGAATTCCCTTGACTGGAACTGTTAAAAAACAAAATTTATGAGTAAACGCAAAGCTCCAATTGGCCTTATTAAGCAATTCATGAATCAGGCAGCATCTCATCTGGCAAACAGGGAGATACTCTGAGGGGTTACACAACATGGAAGGCTGTTATAGTAAGGAGCGGGGGACAAGGTAAGGAAGTCATCAGCAAGGAAAAGTGAGAGTTCATTGGAGGAAAATAAAAGTTGAGGTGAAGACAGCTTCTCATTGGCTGAGCTGTGGAGTTTTCTATTGGCTGGGCTTGTTGCTGGGCAAGAAGGAAGTCTTCCTCCCTCTGGGGCAATAAAGTAGCTGGGCTACCTGTTTGGGAATGCAAGGCACATCTCTTCCTGTTGGGGTCAGTGACTGATATCTTTCTGTTGGAGTCAGTAACTGATGTTTTTCTGTTGGGATAACTGACATCTTCCTGTTTGGGGTAATTCACACGAGTGATAGAGCGTGAGAGCTCCCTCTACGGTCCTTCCTGACTCCAATTTTGGTTGAGGTTTCCTTTCATTAACTTTCAAGGAAGGTTTCAAAA